CCCGCGGCCCCCGCGGACCACCACCGCTGCTCAATGCTCGTGTCTCCGCCCTGTCCCTTACGACTCTCCGATGGAGAGATGGTGATCGTTCCGCTTCGCGACTCGAGGCGAGGGACCTCAACGCAGGGCTACTTTCCCCGAACAGACTCTCCACTGGTTGGACCCCACGGTATTTTCCCTGCTAAGACCGTTTCCTTCCGTGAATACAGGCATAGGCCTGCCTATCGTCGATCACCGCGCCGCCTTACGGCCCGCGTGTTAGTATGCAACCCGTCCGCACGCCTGCATCCGGTACAGTATGACCAGAAGGATGAACGGCGCCGATAGGCCACCCTGTGTTCCGCGTGTTGTGTGTAATTCATGTGAGCTCTTGACTACTTCCTCCACTTCCTCCCCCTCCCCGCCGCACGCGCAGCACCGCACAGCACGCCCACCGTTATGTCGCAGAAACGCCTTCCTCCCTCAAGTGCCCAGCCCCCCGTCAAGACGCGAGCCGTTGGCGAACAGAGCGCGTTCATTCTTTCACATTTTTCCCCCTCTGTCTGCCTCTCTGTCTCGCGCGCTCTCCCTCTCACTCTCTCGCTCGACCCGAAGCCAGGAAGCCTATAACGGCCGTCGAAACTGTTGGAATGCAGCAACCGGCGCGGCGGGTGGCTCGCCGATCCTGTCAGATTCGCTGATTCCACCATTATGCGTTCTCTGTTCCTTATCAGTTTTATACGAAGCGTTTATATGGTTTGACTTCCTGATCACAGATCGGCGGCGGCTGGCGCTCGGCCCGGGCCTGGAAGCCGTGTGCGGGCCGCTGGGTGGTGGTGGGGGTGGGGTGCGGCGGGACAAGGGCTCGGAGGGTCTCTTCCAGACTCCAGTAGAGCGCTTCAGTAGAGCCCTCTTACCGCCAGCAGAAGAGCGCTCCTGGCCTGAGTGTCTCGTCCAAACTCACCGATTCGCGCGCTCTCTCTATCCCACTCGCTCTCTTTTCCCGACCGTCCTGCTCTTTCTCACTCCCACTCCCCCCCCTCCCTCCCGCCCCGCCCAGCAGCAGCTCGGTTGCAGGACTCTCGCAAGCACTCTCCTTCTCTCTCTCAAAACTGTTTAGATAAACGATTGGGAGTAGCGGAGAAGCATCATTCACAGACGCGAGTAGTGGTGTGCTTTGCACGCAGCTTGTGTCACCGCACCCCTTACAGCGCCGCCCCGCCCTCCAAGGCCCTCTCAGGATACTCATCCTCCTCATGTGGATGCGCGCTTGGCTGGCGTGGCGTGGCGGGGTGAAGCGGGGCGGGGCTGAGCGTGGCGGGGCGTGGCGGGGCCCAGAGAGGGCGCCCTTGACTCCGTGACCACGAGCGGCGCGAGCAGAGCGGCCGGTATGGGATTAACCGTTTCATCTTCCCCTTCGCTGCTCTCTCGAGCCCCTCGATGGGTAGGCAACCTCAGGGCTGCGTTGCCTACCAGACAGGCAGTCATGGCAAAGCGAATGGGAGACTGAGAGACGGCTGTTCTGTAGATCAGACGATCTCACGTCACATCAGGATGCCAATAATTTATTGTTGACCTGAATTTTCTGTAGAGATATTCCGGTGGTGCGGCACTTTACCTCCTGGTAGAGACAGTCTTGCGGACTGTCTAAAAAGTACTGTGTTAAACAAAAAGAAAACGTCCGCGAGCGTCGTAAAGCGCACACAGACACTGTGGAGAAAATTCTCCCAGGAAGTTGTTCTCCAATTAGGACCGGGTCCTTTCTTAGGTGCCGCTGCCACACGTGCGGGCAGGAAGCCCGGCCGGCCGAGGGTTGCTTCGGCCCACATCAACAGATTCTCCCAACGCCCGACGATCATCTTGCTTTGTAAAGGCCGTGTGAGCTCACGTCTATACCGAGCACGCTCACGCATTTGAACCAGAATAAGGGCTCCTTTCACGTCTGATGGGACCTGTCGCAACAATCATATTATACCAGAGCTCCCTAATCCTATTGATGGCATCGCAGGGGTCCGGCGGGCGGCGCGCCTGCAGGCGGGCCTTGTGAGGGCCCCGCTGAGCCGGGCAGGGATTTGCTCCAGGCGGACGCCTCCGCTTAGCGCCAGACTTGGCGGAGCGGAGCCACCACCGGATGAGTGAATGATCCGCCGAGCTTTGTGGCGCCGCAGTCTGCGCCGGCGGCGCCGCTGGTTTATATCTTACAAGAAGACTGCTAAGGTAATACGTGTGAATGCTCGATTCTGCCCGAGGGGTAGCCAACTCTCCTCAGCAGTGTACGGAGTATTGTAATATTATGCGGTATTATGGAACGTTTTAAGGGATTTCATGTAATTACATATTATTTGATATTATGAAGTATTATAGACTTTTACGAGGTAACATAAGGTACTCTGGGGGTATTGTGTGTCATGTTATGGAGTATTATGAAGCATTATACCAGGTGGCTGATTCACGCCGCGTACTTCTGTAGTTATGCTGTACCGCATGCACGAGTGCGTGCGGGTTGCCTACTCGCTCGGCTCATAAGGCGCCGTGGACAGGGGCGATAGGCAAGCCCGCACTCGTGCATGTGGTACAGTATACCTACAGAAATGCGTGGCGTGAATCAGCCACCTGGTAGATGTATAATGGGACCCCGTTGCTTCTCATCCCTGTAGATCATTGTCGCTTAAATTTCGTGCTGAGCATCAAATTTTGGGGTACTTTTAGGGGGACCTATATAAAGCATTTGTAAACTACTGGCTCCTATAGGGAGTTTTGGAACATGAGCTCAGTACAAAATTTGACCGTCAATCGTCATCAGAAGCAAGTATACCAAGTTTCGGCCAAATCGGGAGTTAACACCAAGACCTAATTTGGTCTCCTTGAAATACCTACGTTTTCACGCAGCAGGATTACTAAATAATTTGTTACTTATTGTGAATACGTGGCGTTAAAAGAATAAGTTGTCAGTAAAACAGCAATGCATTTTTTTCGTATCATGGAAGAAAAAAGATTTTGGTGAAGCTTATACAACTGGCATACACAGAATACACATAGTGTTCCACTCTATGGTTCACACTGTAAGGTGCTTAACTGGAAATTTGCATACTTGAATTTGTTCAACAGTAAATTTGAACACTATTTAAAGTGTTCAAAGCTTCATGGCCAACTGTGAAGTTGAACACTTTTAAGTGTTCAACTTTCCAGTTAAACATTATTTCTAGTATTCAAATGTCCAGAGAAACACTTTGGAGTGTGACCAGCCAGAAATTCAAACTCGAAACGACATCGTATCGACGTCGAAGTCGACAATTCGTCGATTTAGGTGACTAAACCCCATCGAGTCGACGTCGATTTCACGTAGATCGA